TAAGATTAGAGATGGATCTGGAGAAAAGGATTAGTAGGGAGGGGTGAACATTGGGCTAGCAGGCCTAGAGACTTAGGTATGGTTGACTTAGTGCGGGTGTGCTTGCAGAATCAGTGTTTGGGATGGAACTCTTGTTATGCAAGTGCTCTGTTATAATTTAATGGTCCCCCTGTGATTCTAAGATGTGATCCACATCTGTGGATGAAAAACTAAAGTCAGAAAGTGAAATGGTTTTCTTGGGGGAGAGGTAGCACCAGGTCCCTCTAGTCCAGCTAACATTCCTCTCAAATAATACACGTATCTTTCCTCGTAAAAATATTTGCAGGCCATGAGAGGCTGTAGTGAGGGATGAGGTTGGGGCTGGGTAGAGGAGCAAAGGGCCGCAGGCTGACTGCTGTCCTCCCTGGCAGGTAGATAAGGGTGTAGTGCCCCTGGCAGGAACCAATGGCGAGACCACTACCCAAGGTAAGAATCATCTGCCTCCTTCCCTTCTCCACCAGCTCACCAGCGTTCCAGAGTGAGTCTGCTCACAAACTTCACTGTGTTCCTCCTCTGCAGGGCTGGATGGGCTGTCTGAACGCTGTGCCCAGTATAAGAAGGATGGCGCTGACTTTGCCAAGTGGCGCTGTGTGCTAAAGATTGGGGAACATACTCCCTCGGCCCTTGCCATCATGGAAAATGCCAATGTTCTGGCCCGTTATGCCAGCATCTGCCAGCAGGTGGGACTGGACTACAGGCCGGCAGTAGGCCATTTCCTAACACATTTGGTGCAGTGTGGGCTAGCTTTTTGTCCATCTGCCAGGATATCTACCTCCCCCAGAGCAACTGTTCTCGATACCCACTATGCATCAGGCTATTGAGTGGAGGCCACTCTGCAAAGCAGGGGTGGGAATAGGTGTATGGGTAAATCTGATAGGTTTGCTTGTCCTTGTAACCTGCTAAGGCCTTTGATGCTTCATTCCCATCACCATCATCAAGATAAGTTCATGGCTAATGGTGGTAGAGCTGTAGGTGAGGTTCCTGGTCAGGAGGCCTCATTATCTTGTCCTTCCCACAGAATGGCATTGTACCCATTGTGGAGCCTGAAATCCTCCCTGATGGGGACCATGACTTGAAGCGCTGCCAGTATGTAACTGAGAAGGTAGGTTGCCCATCTACTTGGTCAGGGTAATGTGGTGGGCTGGCCCCACTGAGGTAGTCCCTGATTTTCCACCTTCTCCTGCTGTGTTCCAGGTACTGGCGGCTGTCTATAAGGCTCTGAGTGACCACCATGTCTACCTGGAAGGCACATTGCTGAAGCCCAACATGGTCACCCCTGGCCATGCTTGCACTCAGAAATTTTCCAATGAGGAGATTGCCATGGCAACGGTCACAGCCCTTCGTCGCACAGTGCCCCCTGCTGTCCCTGGTGAGGCCCACTCCCTCATCTTGGCCTGGTGAAGTGGATGTGCCGTCACATTTGACTGTGTCCAGGGTAGCTTGTCGCAGCCCTGTCCTGCCCTGCATCTAATGCAAGCACCCTTTCCTGTGCACTTGTTCCCAGGGGTCACTTTCCTGTCTGGAGGGCAGAGTGAGGAAGAGGCATCCATCAACCTCAACGCTATCAACAAGTGTCCCCTGCTGAAGCCGTGGGCCTTGACTTTCTCCTATGGCCGAGCCCTGCAGGCTTCTGCTCTGAAGGCCTGGGGTGGGAAGAAGGAGAACCTGAAGGCAGCCCAGGAGGAGTATATCAAGCGAGCCCTGGTAAGGCGTGGAAGTGTGAACAGGGGCCTGGGCAGGGGTGGGGGGCAGTCAGAAGAGAATTCCTCTGACTCCTCTTCCCTTTAGGCCAACAGCCTCGCTTGTCAAGGAAAGTATACCCCAAGTGGCCAGTCTGGAGCCGCAGCCAGTGAATCTCTCTTCATCTCTAACCATGCCTACTAACCAGAGCTGATCTAAGGCTGCTCCATCAACACTCCAGGCCCCTGCCTACCTACCCACTTGCTACTGAAGAGGGGCCTTCAGCCTCTTTCCCATCACTCTTGCTGCCCTCGTGCGTGCGGTGTTGTCTGTGAATGCTAAATCTGCCATCCCTTCCAGTCCACTGCCAATAAACAACTATTTAAGGGGGAGTCTGTTGTTCATTCCTTGTAGGGTATAGGGGAGGGAGGGCCTGAGCAAAGAGCCGTACTTGAGGTTCCTTCTTCCTGGGCAGTAAAAGGATGGAGGAAGGATTGTTTTTGTTTGTTTTTTTATTTTTTTAGGGTTCACAAACTTTTTTGGTTCAATAATAAACAGCAAAGAGCACGTAAACTCACTCTGGGGGTGTCACGCAGACATGAAAGCTGGAGGAAGGTTTTATTGGTCAGTATATGTTTTTTGACCAGAGCTTTGAGAAAGGCAGAGTATTGTGAGATGTTCTGAACACATCTAATTGAAGGTAACTTTGAACACCTAATATTCTGCCTCTACGTCCCGAGTGCTGGAATTACAGTAGGGTGCCGTGCCCAATCTAAACCAGGCTGGGATCCAACCAAGGACTTCATGAATGCTAGGCAAGGGCTCTAGGCCTCTGCGAGGCAGCCCCAGCCCTCACATTCCTAACTGGCGTTCTTACCTTGCCAAGGGTGAAGTCTACTATTACTTTAAATTTATGCAGCTGTTTTCCCATTGTAACAGGAAATACAATTAACACCTTTATGCTCTTTTGGGAATATGGAGCCTTTTGGAAAATCCAGAATCCTCTCCTGCATTGGCATAGGTATGCACACAGCTCAGCTGCAGAACTCTCAGGTTCCATGAGAACTGACGGATCCTTGACAGAATGAGCAACACACCAAGCCAATGGCCATCTGTTCTTGCCACCTTACACTGAGTGTGGTTGTGCTTTCAAATTGTTCTGCATAAATGTATGTTTGTATACAGTGTCTGATGCCCTTGAAGGCCAAAAGGAAGGCATCAAATACTTTTTAGCAAGATAGAAAACCCTAAGGACTGAGAGCTGGGGACTGTAATTCAGTGGCAGAGTGCCAGGTTTCTCATGGTTGTGAGTCGTGTAGGTTCTCTGGAAGGCAGTAAGTACTCTATACTGAGTTCTCTCTCTGGCCCCTATATACCTGTATAGTGCTGCTGGAGATTAATAGGAACTTGTTTGATCTTAACCATTTCCTGTTTCCTGCCTTCTGTCCTTTCTGTTTTGTTTTCCTTCCTAAACATCTTTTACACTTTAGTTTTCAGTGATCTGGATAGAATTGACTTATACTAGGAGTATCCAAGCATAGTCTCTCTCTACTGTCTGAATATTTCCATGTATGGCCAGTAATCAAAGCTCAGGCTGGGGACAAAGCTCAGTGGCTGAGCACTTTATACGGCTCTGGTTTCCTCCCAGCACTTCAGGAGAAGATTAAATCCCTAGTGTTTGGGGAAACAAACTTTGGCCTTTCTGCTTATCACTTTTGTAGCCTTGCTTTCTGGAATTGTGTAGACCACACTGGTCTCGAATTCTGATCTGCCTTCCTCTGCTTCCCAAGTACTGGGATGAAAGGCATGTGCTATTACTCCCTTCTGTGAAACAATCTCTTTAAAAAAATTTTTTTTTTTTTTTTTTGGTTTTTCGAGACAGGGTTTCTCTGTGTAGCCCTGGCTGTCCTGGAACTCTCTGTAGGCCAGGCTGGCCTCGAACTCTCGAACTCAGAAATCCGCCTGCCTCTGCCTCCCAAGTGCTGGGATTAAAGGAATGTGCCACCAATGCCCGGCAAAAATTTATTTCTATTTTATGTACATTGCTATTTTAGCTGAATGTATGTTTGTGTGGAAGTGTTGGACCCCCGGAACAGAAGTTAAAGTTGTGAGCAGCCATGTGGGTGGTGGGAATTGAACCCAGGTGGTCGGCTGAAAAGCAGTCTGCTAACCACTAAGCCATCTCTCCCATCCACTATAAGACAATCTTAGGGCACATAAAAATTGTTTAAAATTGAGAGGGACAATAGAGTACTGAAAAAGAGGAGTATGGTGTGTAGAAGAAAGATTAATAACCTGCTCTGCCTACAGCAAAAGTCGAAGAGAAAGGAGGCAGAAGCAGAGTGCATGCACTAAACTTGGGGAGTGTCGAGTCTTAGTGTTTGTGTTGCTTTGAGTTTCAGCAACAATAAAGGTGAAAGCCAGACTTGAAAACCACTTTTCCTGGATTCATATTTTCGCCTTAACTGAAAAACTCCAGACTTTCAGCTTTCAACTGTGAGCAAGCTAGCCTTTGAACCCATTGCCACCTTCAAGGAGTATGTTCAGGCAATAGGAAGTAATGCTGGGTGTGGTTGCTTAACATCTGGGCTATTTTGAGCTATGGTGAAACCCTGTCAAAAACATCAACTATTTTGAAATTACAGGAGTCGAAAACAAGGTCCAGAGAGTGGGCACTTATCTTTTTTTCCAATTAGATTTAATCGTCTGTGTGTTTTCTATCATCACCATATGGGTCCTGTCGATCCAAATCAAGCCAGTCGGACTTGGTGACATGTCAAGTTCTTTTATCAGATATGCCATCTTGGTGAGTTTTGGTGTTCTTTTTTTCCCTGTTTGCTCTGTGGCTTTGACAGCCTAGAATCCACAATCCAGCCTTAGGCTCCTGAGTTCTGGGATTACAAATAGGGTGTGGCACCATGTCTGGCCCAGGTTCGGAGCTCCTCCATGTCAAGGTTTCTATGGGACCGTGGCAACAAATGTGGAGTAGGATAGGCCCATTCATTGAACAACTACTTATGCATGTCTGCAATGCTTGGCCTTATTCTAAACACCGGAGAGGCAATGATGACAAGGTAGTTTTATCCGTGAGATCTGTAATAGAAGCAGGACAGAAAGCAGCCAAGGGAAAAGTGTAATGTGCGATGAGAAGCCTACCGCAGCTCACGTCACCGGGCGTACAAAACTGAAGCACAGCTATACTTACCTCCAACCTACTTCGCCCGCCCACTTCCGGCTCCTTCCGGGCGCCTCGAGAGAGGCGTGACTTGTATGTCACTTCCGGCGCGCGAGAGAACTGGTTTCCCTTTGCTTCCGCGGCGAGGCCGGAAGTAGAAGCGGCGGTGGTGGCGGAGGCCCAAAGCGGAGGGAAGTGGGGAGTCGGAGAGACTCAGCCGGAGTCTTAGCGGCGGTAATTGTCCGAGGCCCCTCTAGGCCACCGTCCTTAGCGCGGGCCCGCGGGGTTCGACGGGAGTTGGCGGGGTGCGGCCAGGGCAGCGGGACGCGGAGGGTCCTGGACCGCCGTGAGGGGAGGGGGGGGCGGTCCCAGAATCGAGTCCCCCCTCCCGCACGGACCCTCTGATTGGCGGGCTCGCCTTCGCTTTTCCCAGGAGACCCCTGTGCGGTCCGGAGGGGGCGGCGGCCCCGACTCTGACCCGCGCCGGGGGGTGGGCCATGGCGGAAATCAGCGACCTGGACCGGCAGATCGAGCAGCTGCGGCGCTGCGAGCTTATCAAAGAGAGCGAAGTCAAGGCTCTGTGTGCTAAGGCCAGGTGAGCGCAGGCCCGCAGGAGGGAGGCCAACTCGTCGCCCAGGGGTTTCGGCTGGGCAAACTCAGTCGAGAACTTAGGGCTTGCCCTATCCCGGAAGCGTCCCCGGAGAGATGTCTCGAGAGCCACTTCCCACCAGGAACCACGGGGTCGGCTGTACGTGTGTGTTTCTAGTGGAGTAAGAGTGAGTGGCAGGAAGTTCTCGGAAACTCAGGGAAAGCGGTTTGCCCTGCTGGGGTGAAAGAGAAAGTTTCTTTTAGGGACTGAGTTTCTGGGATAGCTCTTGAAGAATGAGCTGATTCAAGGCCAGAAAACAAAACGTGACTTGCGAAAGTCTCTCCATCCCATCAGTCCTTAAGAGCGAAAGTGGTTTTGTGTCCACTTTAACAAAACAAGGACTCCAATTGTTCAAAATCACCAGCAAGGAAGGAATGGAACCTGAAGCCAGTTCTCTGAATACGGATCCTTTTAGTTATGAATCTGGAAGATGGAGTCGAGCCACTTTCCTGTTCAGTTAGGGTCCTAAGAAAAACAATAAGCTAGAATAGAACATGAGTTTCAGAAGGAAGATTTACAAAACAAACAAACAAACAAACAAACCCACAGCCTCAACATACTTCTAATCCCAAGCACTTGGTCGAAGAGGAGAGTGAGGGGTTTAGGGTCACCCTTATCTAGGTCAAGGCCGCTGTGTCAGACTCAAGGGCTCAGGAATTGAACCTAAAAAAGAGTTAAGCATGCTGTGGATATGGAAAGATGGAGGAGGTTGTAAGTCAGGATCCCCGTTTGGGGGTTCAGTGACTGTGAGTTTGAATCTGAGCTCTGCCACTTTGTGTGGTGGTGGTTTTAATGTGTCTAGGAGTTAGTAAAATGGTTGTGAGCATTCAGTGAATCTGAGCTGGAAGTGAATTTAGCATGATGTTTGGGTACTGTAAGCCATGAGATGGTATCTTTATGGTGGGAAGGGCAATAATGGTGTATTTAAAGATTGAAGCTAGCTGAAGCTTTGCTGTTTGTTTTTTGTTTTTTTGTTTTTTCTTTCTTTCTTTTCTGAGACAGGGTTGGGTTTCTCTGTGTAGACCTGACTGTCCTGGAACTGTAGACCAGGCTGGCCTTGAACTCAGAGACCCACTTGCCCCTGACTCCCAAGTGCTGGGATTGAAGACATGTGCTACCACCCTTGGGTGACCAAGGTACTTCTAAGAAAGGGTAGACCTTGAAGGATGCACTCTTGACCAGCTGACAGAGCACAGTGAGAAGGAATATTCAAGCAGGGAGTAAATATGTAGGCAGCATTGAGGCTGATTACCTGCCTCATCTGGAAATTGTTTCAGTGTGACTTCCACCCTGTTGAATGGACAGTAACCTGGTCCTCACTCTTCCCCACCAGTCCTGTGATGTTAGGAGAGTATATGTGTGTGTGCCTGTCTGTCTGTCTCTCCTCCCATGTAGTCCCAGCTGGCCTTGAATTCACAGAGATCCATCTGTCTCTGTCTCTCAAGTGATGCTTTCTTTTTACAGAGTAGGAAGCCATGACTTCTGGATACCAGTGACTTGATGCAGGTTACCATTGAGGATGTGACAGCTGCTGTCCTAGTTTACTTTCTCTTGCTAGGCTATATCCCTAGCCCTGTTTGGTTTGGGGCTTTTGTTTTGGAGACAGGATCTCACTGTCTCTTAGGCTGGTCTGGAGTGTGGACTCCTTTGCTGCAGTCACCATGCCGTTATGCCTGACTGTTTCAGGTTTTGCTTATTAAACAGGAACACACATCTTAGGCTGTCCTTGAACCTTCTATATAGCCAAGCATAATCTTGATCTTTCTGCCTTACCTACCAAGTGCTCACATTCCATGTGTGTGTTCCTGGTATTGATTTGAGGTCTATGAGAGCGGCTGGCATTGCTCCTCTGGAAATTGGATTCCCAGGTTCAGCAAGTTTCCAACTTGATCCTGTCGATGTTCTAGAAGGCAGTGTTTGGGAAAATCACCGTAGGAGTAGGGTTAGGAAAGACAGTGTTCTTCGTCTTCTTCTTCTTTTTTTTTTTTTTTGGTTTGGTTTGGTTTTTCAAGACAGTGTTTCTCTGTGTAGCCCTGGCTGTCCTGAAACTCACTCTGTAGACCAGGCTAGCCTCGAACTCTTGAATTCAGAAATCCGCCTGCCTCTGCCTCCCAAGTACTGGGATTAAAGGAGTGCGCCACCACCGCCCGGCCACAGTGCTCTTCTGAGCTAAGCCAGAGAAGATACTGTTAGAAGAACCCACAGAGTAGCAAAAAGCTACACCAGATCCTGTTACAGTGCTACAGTCCTTTAATCCCTGCATACACGAGGCAGACACGGACAGGCAGATTTCTTGAGCTTGAGACTAACCTGGTTTACACATCAAGTTTACACATCCAGACTAGCCGAGGATACATAATGAGGCTATGTCTCCAGAACAAATAAATAAAATTTAATGCTGACAAGGAAGGGACAGCACAACCCTTTGAAGATCCATCTGGGAATCATCATGCCCTAGACCTCGGCCTTACTGTGGATAGTGTGGGAGAAGGGAGTGAGGTCAGAGCTCAGCATTCTGAGGGAAAGGGATCTCCCTTTCAGGAATATGTGCTGTACTCATGAGAAGGAACCACAGGGAGAGTCTAGGCTGCAAATGTCCCAGCCTGCTTGGAGGGGCTTAACCAGGGAAAGGTGGGTGAGAACTTGTACTCTGTTCAGTTGGCAACAAGGAGCCATGAGCAGGTGTTGAATGTTGAGGTGTGGAGTGGCAGAGGTCAGTGCTTTTTGACCAAAATCATGGGGACAGTGCATACTTCCTCCTGTCCCATGGAGGTTCAAGGACTACCTCATGTCCTCCCTCCCTCCAAAAAAGGTCAGGAATTGGGCTGGGCTGGCCTGGCTGTGGTGACCCTGGTCTTCTCCTGTCTCCAGAGAGATCTTGGTAGAAGAGAGCAACGTGCAGAGGGTGGACTCGCCAGTCACAGTGAGTACTCTGTGTCCCCTGGAGCCTCTGACTTGGTCCTGAATTTATGAGAGGCTAGAACCCTCCTTCCCCTGTCTCTGCTCTCCTCAGTCTTCAGGTGAGCCTTGATACAAGAATTAGATGGTGGGCAGAAGTTGCAGTTTAGTGGTCAGATGCTTTCCTGATGTGTTCGAGACCATGGGTTTAGCCTCCTGACTATAAGGAAAGAAGGGATGCTGTAGGAGTTTTGATATACCATGGTGATGTTCATAGCTAAGGCAGGAGAATTTGATTTGGTAAGTGAGTCTTGCCTGTATGCTGGTAACTCTGCTGGGCTCATGGGCAAACAGAGATGAAGCCAGTCTTCTGAAGCTGTGCATCTCCCAAGAAACACATCTCCTGCACCAGAGCAGAGTGGGCTGATAGATGACTCCAGAACAGGGTCACTTGGGGCTAGAGGGTGGAACTGTAATCCTGAGGTGGAGTAATACAGCCTTGGCTGGCACGGAAAGTAACAGGTATTTTGAAGGGTAGTCTCTAGGAACAAAGGCCTCTTTATGCCTTTGTCCACTCTGACAATCCACATGCATTTTTTCCAGGTATGCGGTGACATCCATGGACAATTCTATGACCTCAAGGAGCTGTTCAGAGTGAGTCAGGGAACACTGGGCCTGTAAACTGGGGGTGATTGGAAGTTAGGCCTTAGGCTGCACGGGCTTTGGGTGACAGAAGGGGCTCAGCTCTTTGGCCTTGCAGTGGGAGGAGAGATAGTTTGGGGCCAAGCAGAGCCATATCCCTCCTCCCAGGTAGGTGGCGATGTCCCTGAGACCAACTACCTCTTCATGGGAGACTTTGTGGACCGTGGTTTCTACAGTGTTGAAACCTTCCTCCTCCTGCTGGCTCTTAAGGTGAGGACCCTTGGCCCCTGGAGCCCGAGCCTTGGCACTGCTCGCTGCCCTCATCACCTTTCCTGTCACCTTGGAACTTTGCTGTGGCTGTGGACTGTGTGCTTGGCGGGGCTGGTCATGACTGCTGCCATGAGTGGGGCCGTCTCCTGAGCCCTTGAGAAGAGGCGGTGATGTGAGTTCTGGGAAGTAGACAGGCCGTGTGCTCAGGAAGCAGCAGAAATTGAGTAAACTGGGAAAGTTCATTGGTGAGGGGCCACAGTAGGGTGGGGATGGGGCGCTAAGGATTGGAGCCGGAGACTGTGTGGCCGTCTGCCGGTGAGAGGAATCGTTAGTCTTATAGTGCAGCTCTAGAAAAAGCCCCCGAGCCTGTGAGGCAGGGACGCCATGATTGTGTAAGAGACAGCGAGAGTCTGGGCTACACTGATCATGGTGAGGGCTGAGTGAGGCTAGTAGACACTTGGGAGGGGTTAAGTGGGAAACAGACTAGAATCAGCCCTGGCTTGATGCTCCCCCAGGTTCGATATCCTGACCGAATCACTTTGATCCGGGGCAATCATGAGAGTCGCCAGATTACCCAGGTCTATGGATTCTATGATGAGTGCTTACGGAAATACGGTTCGGTGACTGTATGGCGCTACTGTACTGAGATCTTTGACTACCTCAGCCTGTCTGCCATCATTGATGGCAAGGTAGGTTGGCTGTGGATCTCCTTAGGGGTGGGTGGGGCAGTGTTGGGTCTCTGGGCTTCCACCTCCCTTTCTCTAATATCACTTTCCCTTGTAGATCTTCTGTGTGCATGGAGGTCTTTCCCCTTCCATCCAGACCTTGGACCAGATCCGGACAATTGACCGAAAGCAAGAGGTACCCCATGATGGACCCATGTGTGACCTCCTGTGGTCTGACCCTGAAGGTAAGGGCAATACCTGAGCTGGCTTTACTTTTAGCTTGTGGAGACTGGATTTAAGCAAGTGTATGAAGGAAGAAGAGCCAGGCCAGGGTAGTTTGGGGAGAGGAAAGCAAGGTTGGTCCACACTGGCCCTAGCCTTTCTCCTTCGTGACTGGATGCTCTATAAGGAGCAGGAACCATGGATGATGCTGTTCTGAGGCCTACTACAGTAGGTTGGCTCATGAGTATTCATGGCTCAGGGGGTCTGTTCAGGGTGAAATCATTGGCTCCCTGGGTAGGAAAGGTCATAGACCTTGACAGTAGCTTCTTGGGAGGTGAGACCAGTCTCCTAGAATGATGGCCCCTATTATTCCCCTCTAGTTGGGGCAGAATAAAGATTTAAAGCCAGGCTTTCCGAGTACCAGTCCTAAGCATACCCTCCAGTTCCATCAGTGTTAGTCCAGACTGCCCCATGTGGCAGAAAATGACCTTATTGCCAGGAAACACCTTGATCACAGTGGTACTCTGGGCATTTTTCTCCTTGGAGCGTCTCTGCTCTAGCATTTGCTATCCTGTCTCCCAGGATCCCCTACAACAAGCCTCTGCTTGATGAGGAAAGATGCACAGGCTTTTAATTCTGTAGTATAGTAGACAACCAGAGGAGCCCACACACTGTCCTTGTCTTGTCTCAGACACAACAGGCTGGGGAGTGAGCCCCCGTGGGGCAGGCTACCTGTTTGGCAGTGACGTGGTCGCCCAGTTCAATGCAGCCAATGACATTGATATGATCTGCCGTGCCCACCAATTGGTGATGGAAGGTTACAAGTGGCACTTCAATGAGACCGTGCTTACTGTGTGGTCAGCGCCTAATTACTGCTACCGGTGAGCTGGCAGGGCTGGGAGCCGGGTGAGGGTAGGTATCTGGGCCAGCCATTGCTAACTGTGCTTTTCTTAAATCCAGCTGTGGCAATGTGGCAGCCATCTTAGAACTGGATGAGCACCTCCAGAAAGATTTCATCATCTTCGAGGCTGCACCCCAAGAGACACGTGGTATCCCCTCCAAAAAGCCAGTGGCCGACTATTTCCTGTGACTCCTTGGCCCCAGCCCCTCTGGCCCTTGGACCACTGTGACTGCCCTCTGCCCAGACGGAGGCTGGGTATGAGGGGCTGCCTGGCTTTGCTTGCCCCAGGGTGCGGACTTGCTCTGGAGAGGTTGGAGCCTTAGCTCCTGGCTTCCTCTCCTTTCTCCCACTTGATCCATGAAGTTTCCAGTCATTTTTTGTTTTTCTTTTTTCCTTTTTCTTTTTTCTTTTATTTCTCTCTTTTTTTTTTGTTTTGTTTTTAGATAAAACATTTTGAGAAAAAAAGAAAAAAATTCTAATAAAAGAAGAAAAATAGTCTTAGGGTTTCTGTCAGGTTTGATTGAGGTAGACATGGAGACCTGCCCTGCTTGTCCATGGCCCAGAGTTCTCAGGCTCCATCTGCTCATCTTTCCCAAAGGCTTTCTTAGTGTTGCTTAAAATCTAGGTTCCTGGACAAGCCTTGATTCTTAAAGCAACCACTGTGAGGAGACTAATCCATCTTGTTGAAGGGGACATGCCCAGAGCAGGCTCCTTCCTATCCACAGGGGCAAGCATCTGGACCTTAAAGCTGTGGCTCCCCAGCCCCGCCCAGGGCCAACACCATTAGCTCAAGTTTCCTGAGCACTCATGTCTTTGGAGTTTTATTAACAAAAATACTCTGATCCTGAGAACAAATTGGTGTGGCTTACACTAGTGACGAGGCCCCCAGGAGGTGGGGGTACTTGGCTGGGGCCCCATTTGGCCAGGCAGAGTCTCCCTCCATTCGCACTGAGGTGAGAGCTGAGGGGAAGCTGGCCCCAGCTGGACTCAGAGCCGCCTTGCCTGAGCTTTGAAGCCAGAGGGGGTGGAGTGAAATCAAGGTGTGAACTAAAGGGTAGAGAGAGGCCCAAGCTAGCCATTTGGTGGGGGGGAGGGGGCTGCCACTTCAATGCAGATGCTACCAGGCTGGGGGAAGGGAGCTGGAGGATCAAGGGAAGATGGCATAGGCCATCTTGGCGTACTACATGATGGCTCAGTACATTGGCTTGGCTCCCATGTCCAGATAACCCCCAGGTCCTGGGTATGGTAGAGCAAAGGGGCCCCCTTGAATGAAGTGTGGGGCAAAGGACGGTACAGGTGGAGCTGCCTGACAGGTGGAACCCCCTGGTCCAGGCTGTAGGTCCAGGAATGCAGCTGAGTAGGGAGCTGGACGCCCAGGATCTGGAGCCTCGGGAAAGCGAGGTGTCCTAGTCAGGAGAGAGGTATAAGAACGGAACAGGGCCACCCCCTCCTAGAGCACCCAGCCCTCTGCCTTTGCCCACTTTACCTGGCTGGTAGGTGACTGGGGGCCCCATGAAAAGCTGCAGGGTGCAGGAGGTAGGCCTCAGCACTGGGGCCCCCACATGGGGGAGCTGAGGCAGAAGCAGCTTCCCGGGGGGTTGGAGCCTGTTCTGGATCTGAGTCCCGAATGTCCCCACCCAGGGTGGAGTCACAGGGACCCCCTGGCGTATCTGAGGAGACGAAAAGCACAGGTTGGCTGGGGGGGCTCCATGTCTCAGGTTTGGCCCCATGCCACCAGGACAGCACTCACCCTCACTCCCACAGGCCTCTGTGGCTACTGGCTCTGGGCCCCGAAGTTTCCTCTTCACACGGGCATCCCGCTCCCTGGGGAATGGATGATGATTATGATGTGATGATGGCACTGATAGTACTTACCAGGTGCTAGGCATTTCACCCTCCCAGGCACCCTGCGGGCAGGTCCTATATTATACCCATTTTACAGATAAGCAACTGAGGACCAGAGAAGCCACTAAAAAGCAGCAGAGCTGAGGTTCCTCTCAGAGTTGGAACTTGGTTCTTCAGTGCTTTCTTTCCTCCTTGGGTATTTAGAATCTGAGAAAGCACCTTCCCAGCAGCAAGGTCCAATATCTGCCCAATTTCATGGCTGCCTCACAGCATTTCTGCACCTGACAATCTTTACTTCTTCCAGGAAGGGCTCCCTGACCTTCTGTGGCATCACACACCTCCCTCATGGCCTTCACAACTCATTCTATATTTGAGCTAGTGAACCAGTAACTGTTTTGGGATAGACTAGAAGCTCTCCCAGGGCTAGGTCAGCTCTTGGGTTGTACTCAGAACAGATGCCCAAGTCCTTCCTTGGAAAGCAATTATCTGCCTTCCCTTCACTCTCACTTTAGGACACTTCTGCCTCAGGGCCTTTGCACTTGTGTTTTTCCAGACACCAGCCTTCCCCTCCCCTTCCTAAAGGTCTTTGTCAATTGTCCTCGGGTGCCTTTTCTCCACTATTTCCCTCCAGCCTTGCCACCTTTTTCATACCTTATTGCTCATTAGAATCTTACAGGTCTCTCTTGCCGACTAGTCTGTCAATTGTATGAGGACTGAGCAAGTTTAAGTATTTGTTGAATCAGAAGTGGATACATGGTTTTACTCACCCTCATGTTCCTGGTAACCTGGCACAGTGCCTGGCACACAGGAATTAGTAAACACTCACTGAATGAATGGTGCCCACCTCTTACAGTTTCTGCCATTTTCTCGGAAACCTTTGGCAAAGGGATTGGCTGCGATCTTCAGCTGTGTGATCTGAGGACACACATCCAGGTCAAAGCCCCTGTAGCCTGAGCTACAGGTACTGCCCCTCCCTCAAGCAAGGTCACTCACCCTAGGGTTCTGGTAGGCTGTCACAGAGATGAATGTGGTCTCAGGAAATCGGAAGGAGGCCACACCCCCCCAATGTTGGCTGCAAAGTTGGGTGGCTCTCACCAGGTGGATACGTGGCTGGTACTTGTGCATGGAGTGCAAGATCAGCTGGGAGGGAAGAAATGAGGTGACTCCCAGCCTTCACCTTCCTCCCAGTACCACCCTAAAACCCTATCAAGGGGTCCCAGCCCGGGCCTCACGTGGCCATGGGGGTCCAGTGTGCTGTTGGTGAGCTTAACACGATGGAAGGATACGGGTTGCCGCATCCAGTGGGCACCGGTGGCAGGAGAATCGGGGTGAATGTAGACACGGTCAGGTAGGCGGGGCTCAGCCTTGCCACTGGGCTCCCAGTGCTGGCCTTGCCAGCGGTATCGGGCCCCATCCACTGGAATCACATCCAGAAGGAACAAGTAGCGGGCCTCTGGGTCCAGGCCAGTGACTGATACTCGGCAAGCAGGGAACATGCGCCTGCACAGGGGATGGAGAGGGAAGAGAGGCCTGGAGCTACCCACTACCACGGGTGAACCCAGCACCAGCAAAGAAACTAGCAACAGGCACCTCAATTTTGGCACAGTAAAGCCAGAGAGGTGTGATTAGGTTTTCCAACACAGAGGCTAAGAGCTGGAAGGTTTATTCCATTTTACAGATGGGCAAAAGGAACAGACAGGTTTGAGGATCTGACAGGCACAGCAGGTTAATCTCCTCCACACTTGCTTCTTTACTCCCTATTCTAGTTACAACAAGGTGCAAGCCTGTCTCAGAGCCCTTGCCACTTCCTGTCCAGGCTCCTGCTCCCTGTCCCCTGTAACTCTATTTACAGAGACAATGGTGACTATTTTCTTCCTGAAGCCTTAGGAGCCTCCCGCTCCCTGCCTTGGTGCAGCACTGACCCCTGTGGCTGCGAAGACTAACTTTCTTCAGAAATAATAGGTGCCGGGCCCTGGGGACAGGATTTATCCTGGGGTTCAGGCTTTAGAGACCTTGCCAGAGCTCACACGTTGAGCATTCACCTTCTTAGAGGGTGAGCTGGGACTTAGCCACATACTGACCCTGATTCTGGACAGATTCTCCTGACAATGGTCACTGACTGGTCCTTGATCCTTCTCATAGTCTGTCTGTTTCTGAGTTAGGCCACATGCCAACCTACAACCCAACCAGACTGACCTCTTTGACCCTTGATAGAACCGCTCCTAAACCCAGTCACAAACTCTCCAGACTGATCCTTGAACCTCGACACAGTGTAACTCCTGTTCACCCAGGGTCACAGATAGTGTCAGGCCATAGTTAGATTCTGCTGTCTGGGTTATACTAGCCCTGGAGAGGCCCCTAAACCTAGCTCTGTCCCCAGGGATTCTATCTTTTCTAAAAGCTGACTTGGCCATCCCTCACCTGCCAGCCTTGGTGATGATCATCTCTGTCCCCACAGCGCTGAATTCCTTCCACAGTTCCTGGTTCTCCAAGCTCAGGCTGACCCCAGGAAGCGAGTGAAGGGCCTCTGGGGGTGGCGGTGCTGTCTCAGGGCCCAGAGCAGACGGGAGAAGGGGCAAAGGAGGGGGTGCAGCCAGAGTGTGGGGAGCTGCCTCAATCCCAGAGAGGAAGCAATCCAGTTTAGAAGTATCCAAATCTGGAGATGTGGGAAGAATGAGGATCCAGGGGAGGGCCACATATTCCCAGTTTCCTGCCCCTTACCCAGAGCCAATCCAACCGCTCACCAGGGTAGCGGTAGCCCTCTGTCAGGGCAGGTGGGAAGGTGGAGTCTGCCCCAGGCTGGGGGTGTCCCAGACGGTAGCCAGTCCCCAGAGAGGGGTACAACTCTCGTGGATGGTACATGTTGTAGTTTCTTCTGGCCTTGTGTCCCGGTTGCTAGAAACCGGGGTCTAAGGGATGCCCCCTTTATAGCTTACAGCACAGCCCCTTCCAAACCAGAGATCACAGCCCCTCCCCTCCTTGGGGCCCTGGAGGTGGGTTGGAATGGAGACCCCTGGGGCCTCGAAGGGGTCCAAGAGGAGGCCGGATACCTGGGTACCCTCCCCTCTCCCTCGCGGCTTCACTAGTCCCGACCCCCTACCCCCTCATTACATAATTAACTCCTCGGCCTGATTGATCCCTAGGGCTAAGACAGGGACGCAGTTTGGCGCTTCCGGCCAGCTGGTCTCTGTTCCCACGGTGGGGGCAGACCGGCTAGGGGGCAGGGGTGGGACCTGGATCCTGGCACCGAGCCTAGGATCCCGGGTTAGACCCTAAAGCCCCAGACTTTCTGGAAGGTGACCCCTCCCTTTTCTTCACTTGAAGGACTAGCCTTTCTAAGTGAACGCGAGGACAAGTGCAGGGTTGGTGTCTGAGCTGATACGACAGACACTGGGCATCTTCAAGAGACCGCAGCAGACGACTAAAGCTTAGAGTCCTCCCGGGTTTATAGAATAAAAAGCTTCCTCCAAGTCTCAAAAGTTGAGGGGCGTGCACAGCTACAAGTCTGTGGTACTTCGTGCAAGGCGCAAGGTCTTAAGCCGAGACCACTTCAACTACATTTCCCAGTAGGCACTGCGCCAGTCGCACGTAAAGGCCACAGGCAAGCTGTGTTGGGGTCCCTGGGAATTGTAGTTCAGACCAGGCCGGCAAAGCCAGAGAATTGGTGGTCTTTCCTGATGCTTGCCCCCTAAGGCACTAACACCAAGACAAACACAGGCAAGAAGTCGGGGTCTAGACCAATTTGGTCTACTGTTCCTACTCCATTCCTCCTGCTGAGGCTCTGAATGGAACCCATCTATAGGGAAGGAACTTGTATTCCAGGTCCCCTTTCTGTATTCCATGTGAGCCAGGGGCTGTCTCCATTCCATTGTTTTATTATTTACAAACGCTACAGAACAAGAACAGACACGTTGCAGGTAAGAGGGATCCAGTGGGAGAGATTCACAGAAAGATGGTGCACCGGGGCCATGAGAGCAGCACACAGGCCATATCTATGGGACAGGCAAGACAGGAAGGGGTTAAAAAATGAGATCCAAGCCAGTCAGATCGCAGGGAGGTGCGGGGGGGGGGGGTACAATCCCCCTCCTTGTCTCCCCCCAAGGTCACAGTGCATGCAATAAAATATATGTACAGGAGCTGGATCCTTCCCCTGTGGGGACCCTGAGGGTCCAGAGCTCCCTTAAGGAGAAGCGAGACCAGTGGCTCCCCCTGGCGGCCAGGCCAGGCTGAAGCCACATGCGTCAGGAGCTAGGTCAGTCCCAGCCGTTGTCTTTGATCATGTGGTTGAGTTCGATGATGTACTTCCCCTCTTTGTATTTCTGGCTGCTCTCAAAGGCTTGCTCCTGAAAGGAGAGAAAGGGCTGCCAGTCACAGACAAGACTCTTACTGCTAAGCAGTGGGGTTTGGAAATGACCGGTCTTGTTTTATATATGAAAACACTGTGGCCCGGGGAAGCTCAGCTACCTGTCCAAACACAACTGGCAGGCCTGTTTCTCCCTGGGAATAGAGAGAACTTTGAATCATGGGTATTTCTGAAAATTAATGACAGCTCCAATAGGGAGGATATGGAAGTACCTACAAGATTTCACAGTCCAGGGATTACAAACTGGTGGCCTAAGGGCCATTTCAGCCTACAAGCAGTTTTGTTTAGATAGCAGAGAACTTCATATAAACAACTTTAGGGATTGGGGATGTTTAGCATGTGGGAGGGCCTGGATTCAACACAAGCACCACATTAAAAAAATACAATAAAACGTACAGCTAAGTGATAGATATACATGCTCACTCCATTTTGCACCAGCCTGCTTTCTCAGCCGTAAATCTATGCTACTCATTTATAAGCCCACAGTATCTGCTTGGCCTTCTAGCCATTTGACAGATTTTGTTTTAATTTGAGACAGGGTCTACATAGCCCTGGGTGTCCTGGAGCTCACTAGGCTGGCCTAGAACTCAGAGATCACCTGCCCCTGCTTCCTCAGTGTTGAGATTAAAGGTGTGCAGCTGCTGGGCAGTGGTGGCGCACGCCTTTAATCCCAGCACCTGGGAGGCAGAGGCAGGTGGATTTCTGAGTTCGAGGCCAGCCTGGTTTACAGCGTGAATTCCAGGACAGCCCAGGCTATACAGAAAAACTCTGTCTCAAAAAATAAAAAAATAATAAAGGTGTGCAGCTCCACACACTGCTGACATTTGAGTTTTTAACCTCTGGTCTAGGCTATATTTGTAGGAGTTTCAGAGGGGCCAAGCCACCTGTCCAGAGACACACAGCAAATCTGTGGCAGGGTCAGAGGTAAAGTCAGGTTAGGACTCTCTGTCTCTTCCTGGGGCATCCAGCTCCTAGAGACAAGCCAAATGGCCAATTCCCTAATACATTCTCCACATGTATACGGAACAACTTTGCTAAATGTAATCTGAGCCTCATAATGATCTTCTGTGCCAGGTAGTGGCTTTATGCTCCCATGCCAGGTAAGGAAATGAGACTTGAGATTGTGAAACCAGATGCTAGAGAGCATCAGAAGCTACAGGAACTGTGCAAAGACCTGGGGACCTAATTTCCACACTGCTACAGAGTCTTAGTTGTGTGATCTTGGACAAATGTCCCAGACTCCTTGTCTTCTGTAATAGAGTCTGCCACCAGAAGAGTTGTAATGATTTAAGAGACTATATGCCGTGTGTTAACATGCATGGCAGATAAGCATTCAATAAATGATGATTCTATTTGCTACTAATCATCTAAGATAGGGGTGCTAATCCTCTGAGGGAAGAGGAACAACCTCAAAGCCCTGCAGAATGCAATGGACAGACACCAGTCACTGGGGGGAAAAACAGGTATGCTGGGTCACTGGTACTCTGAAAGGCAAAGGTATATGCTTTCAAGGAAGAAGGGATGAGGTTAGGTCAAAGGCCAGCCTAGGTTAAGAGATCACAAACTCACATATTTCCAGCCCAAAGTGGTCTTGCAGTTCTCGCAATGGATGTCAGCGACAGCATGAAGACCTGTCAGCAGCACCCGCTCTTCTGCTGGCCCGCAACCCACATTCACCCTGTGGGAACAAAGGTAGTCCCAGGGAGGGTCTCAGCAGCACAGAGACCCCCCTCTAGCTAGTATGTTCAGTGTCTGATCTTAGCCTCTAAGAGGAGCCTGATGATGGCTTTCTGTCTGAAACAAGGGACTCTGGGAATATCATCGGCATGATGCCAGGGGTCACAGGTCACAACAGAGGTCAGGAAAAGAAAGGAAGGAGATGAATACTCACACAGAGTTGAAGAGGTAGGCACGCCCCTGACTGCCCTGGAAGGACTGGAGGGTAGTGGGGAGACGAGAGGAGGGGTTAGGGCTATTGGTGGGGAGTTGCCAGGCAGCCCATTGCCATTCTGGACTAAAAATGTGGCCTGCTTACCTTGGAGATGAGGTCGTCGTGGTTGGCCAGGTGAGCACGGCAGTGGGCACAGCTATACCTCCGGTGACAATCATCCAAGTAGGCCTGAAATGTCTTGGGCTTTGAAATCCGCACCATGGCGGGGGCCAAGGGCAGTGGCCCCACGCGGGGAGCGGTCCACGGGGAGCAGAGGGAGCCCAGTGCCTGCCAGGAAGGAGAGGTGGACTGTCAGGACCAAGATCACACACATGTAGACAAGCCCAGAACTATGGGGACTCTGTCACACTTGGCTGCTCTCTCCTTTCCCTAGAGCCAGCAGTCTCACCAGGGACCAGAGTCATCTCAGTTTTGACTCACTGAGGAGGCCTCAGGTTGCATCAGCGGGTAAACTGAGGCTAGGAGGAGCTCTAGGTGAGTCACCCACCTGCTTCTGGCCTCACCCTTGCTGAGCTGGCATCTGAAACAGGAAGAAGGGGCTTCAGAGTGGATGGGCTGCCAGTTTTCAGTTTTGGGGGATTATGGGGGGGGATAAGAAACTGACTTGTCCTTGGGACCCTATTTGGACTAGTGATAGGGCAAATGTGGGGTATATGGAATTCGCTTGGGGAAAGGGTCTCTCACCTGGAGGAGGCAGGAGGCCTCCCCAAAGGAAGAGGGTCCCCTAGGGGGTAGAGGGGTTTTTACCTGCAGGCGCTGAGCCTCATCTCCGCTGAGGGGAATCTTACCTGCATCGCCAAGCCTTACCTGAGACCCCGGGGCTCACCTGGGGCGAGGGGATGGGGGCGTGCGCGGGGGAAGGGGCAGTCCTCGCTTGCGGGGCGGGGGCGCGGGGCGACGCGCAGAGACGTCGGTCCAGGCCTCACCTCGCCTGGGCGCGTGGAGGGCCCGGTCCGCGGGGTGGCCTGGCCTGGGAGTGGGGGGCGCTCCTGATGGGCGCCGTCCCCCCCGGCCCGGTTCGCAGCCGCCTCGACTTGTTTACACCGAGACCAGCTGCTGCCGCGGCTGCGGCGGGAGGGGGAGGGGGCCGGCCTCCTGTCCCGGCGGCCGCCGTAGCCAATCGGAGTGCCGCATGCAAATGAGGGGGCGCGTCATACGGCGGCCAGCAGAGGCTGGGCTGCCCTTCCCCCTCCTCCCGGCTCCCGCTAGCCAGCTCGCCCGGAAATGCGGCTGCGACTCGCAGCCTAACCCAGAGGCTAACTCGGCCCGATTGCACCTCTGGTGCTCTGCTATCTCTGGTCCTGGAAGAGACAAGGATCCTAACCTGGCGTGGGGTTAGTAGGAGGGTGTTGTCTGTATACAAACCCCTGAGAAATCTCGTCGTAATTGTCTTCGTTTATCCACTGACCACTATCTCACAATCCTGTAGTTTCTCCATTTGACCAGGTTCTGAGGCTTGGAGAAGAGATCCTCTCCAGAGATTATCCAGATGGTAAGAGTTAAAGTTGGAATTCTCACTTTTCCCAAGCACGTGGACAGATTGTTAGAAAGGAAGAGCTAAAGGTGTCCTTTTGCTACTAGACTCCCAGGAACCAAGGCTTTAAAAATCTCTACGGCTGAGCGTCATCTGCTCCAGGCATCCTCTGGTATGCCTGGCCTCCAGGTTTCTGTAGGTCTGACCCCAGTGAAAATGTCTGTTTAAACTCATGTCTGGTATACCTAGACTTGAGTTCACTGCAGAGTCTCAGTAACCAGTAGGCTTGAAAAGTACTGCATTGGAAATATTCATTAAATGAATTAGGACCCAGTGTTGGAGATCAGAAAGAGGACAGCAGGTACAGTGGGGGAGCCTGTGAGCTCACCCATGCCTGCCTGCTGCAGTTCAGTGTATAAGGTGACCAACATCAGTAACATGAGGAAAATCAAGTCCTTTGTGTGTCTGGGTCTCTTAATGGTTTCAGGAAAACCACTCATCTCAAGATCTCTAGAGTCTCGGGCACTTGGTTAGCATGCTTCAGAGTGGAGGCCAAGCTGGCACAGGGTGTGGTGCCACTCCACTGGGTCTGGAATGTAGTGGAACAAGTGGGCCAGCCTACTTAGGCCCCCAGGCTTCTTTTTGGAGGGGTGTCAGTGGGCAGGGTCTCACTTTGTAGCCCTGGAATATAACTCATAGAAATCCACCTGCCTCTGCCTTCCAAGTGCTGAGGTGAAAGATGTTCTAGGAATCTAAAGATGAACTATGTTTTGACAAGAAAATATTTATTTTTCTTAAGAGAAAGAAAGGACAGGGCTTCAGACTGAGGAGGCTGGGTCTCTTCCTTTCTGCTTGTCCAGGTAGTGTCTCAGGGCTGTGGGGTAATCAGTCATGACACCATTGACTCCCAAGTTGAAGGCCACTTCAAAATCTGATTCTTCATTAAGGCACCAAAATAGTACCTGAACAGGGAAAACAAGGGACAGGTTAGTTTCCAAACACCAACCCAAAGCTTCCTTTAACATCCAGGAGGTGGCAGCCCCTCCTTCTGCACAGATTTCCCAGCAGTGGTGTCCTGGAGCTGATGGTTATCTTTTTAGAAATTTCCAAATTGGTTATTAAGCACAGCTACTGTCAAAACCTAAATATATGATCTTAGAGCTAAGTGTGGCCATGCATGTTTGTAACTCTGCACTTGGGAAGCCATCTGAGCTACACAGAGTAGCAGCCAGCCAGGGTTATATAGCAAGACCCTGCCTCAAAAATAAATACATACATCATGTAACTACATGAACTTGCAGTTGAACTGTCTCAGAACTCAGGATGCAGAGGTGGGTGGATCTCTGGGAGATCTAGCCTAAGTCTGTATAGTAAATTTCAGGCCAGCTAGAGTTACACAGTGAAACTTTGTCTCAAAAGAAACAAGAAATTCTATTAAAAACAAAGGTAAAGTAGCACTGTGGTGGGGCATGATTGTTTTTATAGCAACGAGAGGCAAGAGATAGAAGGGAAAGGAATTCAAAGATATCTTGTGTTACATAGGGAGTTCAAGGGCCAGCCTGGGCTATATGAGACCTGTCACAAACAATCCAGGAACTGGGGCTGTTGCTCAATGGTTTAGTCCTGGCTACTTAAGTGCAAAGCCCTGGGTTTGATTCCTAGTACTACAAAACAAATCGAACAAAAACACAAACAAGGGCCAGTGACATGACTCAGCAGGTAAAGTCACCTGAGGACCTGAGATAGGTCCCCAGAATCTACAAGGTAGAAGATCCCTGATCCCTACAACACACACACCCTGTGACCTCTCCAAGCACAGTGTGGGGTGTGCCCCACCCGGTGTACACACACACAAACACATGTAATATATTTTTAAAGTTAGGTACTAAAAAGCCCATTACTAATTACTTTATAACTTCTTACGGTCTCTTCTCGTCTCCCTTCCTTCCCCTCTTCTTTTCTCTTCTCTCTTAGGGTCTCATGTAACCAAGTTGGCCTCGCACTCTCTCTAGCCGATGATGACCTTGGACTTCTGTCCTGTTTCCATGTCTAGTGCTCAGGTTACGGGTATATAGCACTACACCTGTTTTTTCCCCCCCTTTACTATTGTTCTTTTTACAATTTATTTGTATTTATTTTAAAAATAAAAATGTATGTGTTTGTTTGATAGGGATGAGTGATGTGTCTACATGTATTTCTGTTTACCACATATACGTCGGGTGCCAACAGATGTCTGCTAAGACATCTGATCCCCTGGAGCTGGAGTTATGAATGATTGTAAGCCAGTGATTATGGGTGCTGGGAACCAAACGTGGACACTCTAGAAGAGCAGCAAATGCTCTTAACTGCTGAGCCATCTCTCCCATCCCATTCCGTGTGTGTGTGTGTGTGTGTGTGTGTGTGTGTGTGTGTGTGTGTGTTTGTGTGTGCTGGTTACTGAACCCAGGGCTTTGGGGCTGCTAGGCAAGTATTCTACCAAATGAGCCACATCCCCAGCCATTGGCTTCTATTTTTTAACAATTTGATTTTATTTATTTATGAGGGGGCGAGTGCACATCACACCAAGTTTGTGGGCCAGAGGACAGCTCTTAGGTCATCAGGTTGATGGCAGAAGCCTTTAGCCACTGAATCATTTTATTGTCTTCCTTGTTTGTTTTATCTTTGTTGTTTTGAGGCAGGGAGTGTAACTCAGTCCAAACTGGTTTAGAACCCACTATCTTCCTGCCTCTGTTTCCCAAGTATCACATGTATGGGCTGCTGCACCTGGCTGGCATGGTATCTCAGTTTGAGTTTCCATTGCTGTGAAGAGACGCCATGGCCAAGGCAACTCTTAATTGGGGCTGGCTTACGGTGTCATAGGTTCAGTCCATTATCATCCAGGGTGTCTCATTCCACACTGGGCAGCCCTTGAGCATAGGACCTCAAAGCCAACTCCATAGTGCTGACTTCCTCCACAAGGCCACATCTCCTAATAGTGCCACTCCCCCTGGGCCGAGCAGAGTCAACCAACCATGCCTGCCTTAGGATCTCTGGATGTCTTAGTTGAACAAATGAAGGTCCAGTCTTTAAACATGTGGAGATCAGAGGTGTGAGAGGGCTGGGAAGAAAAAACCTCTCTGTCCTTCTTCCTCAGCAATGCCAGACACAGGTAGTAGACAAAGCCTTTCTCTGAGTTAACCCTTCCATCTGTCCCCATTGCTGTCACCCAAGTCTGACTCCTGTCCGTGGCAGTATCAGGCTCTTAAGGACACTTGTTGTCTACCTACCACCCCTCAGTCTCCATGTTGTACATCCAGGACTTCACTCAGTGAATTTATCTGGATCAGGTGGTAGACTTTCAAAAGCTTCCCTCCCTAAGGTCATGGTCCTATTACACATGAGGCCAATGGGCCTAACTGACCTTCACTGCCCTCAGCCTAGGGAATCTGCCCAGTTTCTCTGAGCCCAGCCTCTTGTTCCTCCAAGCTTTAGCCTGTGGATGCCAGCCTCCGATGTTCTTTCTCTCCCCAAGAACCATCGTCATCCCAACATTCTACCGGCTGAGTCCTCACCTGCACCCCTCTGTCCTGCAAGTGTCGGATCAGACTTTTCCTCATGATGATCCTGGAGGACGGATGGGGACATCAAAGGCGATGATACAGTGATGAAAGAGGACAAAGGAGAAGGGTGGTGGCAGGTCCCCATGTGGACCCTCTACCCAGCAGCCCTGTCCACCTTACCATTTTGTAACTGTAGCCGACAGTTTGTTCATCCATCCACAGGAAAATGGGAAATAAGTCCTGTGGAGAGAAGGGGCAGAGTCAGCTCCTTCTCTCTCTCTCTCTCTCTCTCTCTCTCTCTTCTTCTTCCCTCCCTCCCTCCCTCCCTCCCTCCCTCCCTCCCTCCCTCCCTCCCTCCCTCTCTGTGGTGGGGGGCAGAGGCATGTGGTGGTAATGACTCCTTAACGCTGGCCTAGCCTGAAGGAGCTCTGCAGGTGCCTAGAGAGAAAATGCAACCCTCGTGAGAGCTGACTGTGTCCCGAGTCCTTGGTCTCAGAGCTTATCTCTCTTCCCATCTTAAGGGCAAGGATCTGAGGCTTAGACACTGGAACACACTGGAGGTCAAAACCATATCTGTGACCAGCTCGATATCAGAGCTAGATATCACAGAGGTCCTCCTGGTTGAGTCTGGGTGAGTTGTTTTTTTGTTTTTTGTTTTTTTTTAATTTTTTAGCTTTTCAAGACAGGATTTCTTTGTGTAGCCCTGGCTGTCTTGGAACTCTCAAACTTAAAGAGATCCTCCTGCCTCTGCCTCCTGAGGGCTGGGATTAAAGGCATGCACCACCACTGCCCTGCCAAGGGTAGGTTTTTAAGAATAGCAGAGGTTGGTCCAGAACTTGCAACTCTCTAGCCTCACCCTCTCATGAGTGCTGGGATTACAGGAGTGTGCCGTGGTGTCCAAATTTGGCCAGCTTTTTCAGATGAGACAGGGCTTACTAGGTTGACGACATGTCACAACTTATCCCATTCTAGGGATGATTTTTGATTTTGGAGTGTGCCCAGGCTCTGTATTTTCAGCTGGGTAACCTTGGGCAAATCACAGAAACCCTGCATCTCTGATACTAATGGGGGGTGGGGGAGAGATCACGGCTCTACCTTCTGGAAGGGGCATTGTAAGGTAAAGGTTAAATATTCCACAATATGTGAAAATCTTTAGCCCTGTGTAAACTACTGCAAACAAAGCTTTGGGGCTGCGGGGCTGCGGGGCTGCGGGGCTGCGGGGCTGCGGGGCTGCGGGGCTGCGGGGCTGGCTAGCTCTCCTGAAAATCACATAGTAGAACCAGGGCTTTGGGGACAGTCAAGGAGACATTGTCAGAAAGGAAAGGGAGGAGGCAGGCCCAAGCTAAGAAAGTATCTTCCTACAGTTATTTTGTTAACAGGGCTAGTGTAGGGTGGGCTAAGTCACCTTAGAGTGAGAGAGCCTGGCTGTTCCCCCAGGGCCTGACTCAGGCAAGTCAGGTTTCTTTTCAAGGCTGACCTACCCTCATTATTGTCCTATTACAACTGCACTGGCCAGGCAGTGGTGGCGCACACCTTTAATCCCAGCACTTGGGAGGCAGAGGCAGGAAGATTTCTGAGTTCGAGGCCAGCCTGGTCTACAGAGTGAGTTCCAGGACAGCCAGGGCTACACAGAGAAAACCTGTCTCAAAAAACAAACAAACAAAAAACCAAAACAACAACAAAAACAAAAACAAAACAAACAAAACAAAAAAACAAACCAACAACTGCACTGACCAGAGAGGTTTTCCATTAAGGGTTTGGATGAATTTGTTCTAAAGCTGCATAGCATTATATATATTAGCCTGCACGTTGTTATTGCTGTTGTTGGTGGTGATGTCACAAACCCCTTAGTGTTCATAAATGCCAGGCAAGAACTATAGTGGTGGAGGCCCATGATTCCAGCACTGGGAAGGCAGAAGCAGGAGGATTGAGGGTTTGAGGCCTATATATGAGACCCTTGTCTCAAAAACTAAAATCAGGCCTTCTCCATGGTTAGTGCAGTGGTTCTCAACCGTCCAAATGCTGTCACCCTTTCATATAGTTCCTTACACTGTGGTGACCCCCCAACTCCAAGGACAATAAAATTATTGTCATTGTTACTTTACAACTATAATTTTGCTGTTATGAACTATAAGCATTGTGTTTTCCAGTGGTCTTAGACAACCCCTGTGAAAGGGTTGTTCAACCCCCATAGGGGTCTTGACCCACAGGTTAAGAACCAGTGGCTTAGTGGATAAAGGTCCTTGCCATGAAAGCCCAGCAACTTGAATCCAATCCCTGGAACCTACCTAAAGGCAGAAAGAATGTTGTCTCTGGCATCCATACACACACACACACACACACACACACACACACACACACACACACACACACCCTCTATAACAAATTGTGTCCCAGCATACACAAAACCCTACAAAACCCTAGGTTCCGCTTCTAGCACTGAATAAAACCTGGTAGAGGCAGGAGGATTAAAAATTCAATGTCTTTCTCAGCTACTTTGTTTCAGGCCAGTTTAAGATACATGAAATTCTGTCTCAATTAGACAAAACAAAATAAAAAAGAAGTCACTATCCTATTTAAAGGGCTTTGGGATTGGAGAGATGGCTCAGTGGTTAAGAACTTGCTGGTCTTTAAGAGGACCTGAATTTGGTTCTAAGTATTCTTCTTGGGTGATTCACAACCACCTGTAACTCTAGTTCCGGGGTATCTGACACTCTCTTCTGGACTCTGTAGTGAACTGTACACATGTGGTGTACAAATGCGCGTGTGCACGCGCGCGCGCGCGCACACACACACACACACACACACTATTTAAAGAACCTTGAGGGCTCTGAGGAAATTAGGGAACTGGGGGTCCCGGGTCACTGGCACACAAATCCTGGGCAATGTAGCCTGAACAGGGAGGTTCTACGCCCCATCTCACTGGTACCTGTTGATGATGGTGGGCAGGAAACAGAAGAAAAACTTCTCAGGGATGGAGACAAAAGGCAGCAGCCCCAGGTAGTAGAACACCAATATCCAGAATGATCGCCATATTGTGAAGGCCATGGGCATCTCAGGATTCTGGGAGGCAGGGGGAGAGGTGAGAAGGTAGAGCTGTCTGTCTGCACCCGAGACAGCAGAGAGGTGGTACTCACCAAAAGGGTCAGGGCTGGACATCGCAGTCACACCTTGAACAGTACAATGGTTAATTCTGTTCATTCGATTGGCTTAGGAAGTAGTACCTAGGAGTTTGGGGAAGTACCTGTGGGCATACCTGAGGACGTTTCCACAAACTCAGCTAGGGGTGGAGACCCACCCAGAACGCGGGCAGCAGCTTCTCCCTATGCTGGGAAGGGCTCGTAGGGGAAGAAGCAGCCTGGCATCTGCTTCCAAACTGGTATCTATTCTCCTCTTCCCACCTCTCAGGCCCATGACAATAGGGAAGGAGGAAAAACGAGTCCAGGTGTTATTTCTGCTTCCTAATTAATGAGGAGGCCTCCTTCTCGTGCTCTCTTGACCTCTAGCTATGAGGCCAAAGTGATATGGGTTAAAATCTCTGAAACAATGAGCCATAAGGTATGGCCTGAAGCCTGTCACAGTACCAAACACCTGACCAGCAGTGCCAGTACTGCAGGTTTCCCAGAGCAGTCCTCATGGCATTGCCATGCCAGTACACAGTCACATGTCTGACTTTTCCAATCCTGCTCTTTGGGACTGTGCTGAAGGCTTCTTCCTGGGGTCCTCCTTGGGCTAAGGTGGCTTCTAACCCCATGGCAGAGAAAGAGGGACTCACAGCAGCCTTGCATCTCTTCATGACTGAGCTCTTCTCTGAAGCCCAAATAGTAATCTCGCTCCGGTCAAAGTGCCTGGTCAGGTTGGCTACCTAGGATGGGGAGAAGGGGAGTAAGAGAAGCCAGGCCTCTCTTGACCCTGCCCTCACCTGCTGGGCTACAGTACTACCTTGTGAATGAGTTCTTCATTTTTTTCTTTGATCTCCAAGCTCATGGGAGTCCTAGGAAATTTCTGGAATACATCCTCCAAACTAATCATGTGCCGGTCTGACCCGTGGGCAAAATGGCCTAGGCAGGGGGTCACAAAAACTTGGGTCAGAGTAGGATAAACAGGCTAGAGGGAGGGGTTTAATGAGAGTACATGAGAAGGTGGCTAGGCAGTACAATGGTGGCTACAAACATCTTACCCGGCGAGAAGTAAATCTCCAGTTCTTCCTTGTAGAGGGGCAGTTCCTGTGGAGAACAGAGAAGCGTCATCAGGGTGCATGTGTATAAGTCATGCAGCTCTCAGTATGAGGGGCTGCAAAGCTCACCTCAAAGGCCAGGGTGTTCACATCCTTATTTAGGCCTGACTGGCGGGACAGGTTCTTGTCGTGTGACACTACCACCACACCATCTCGGGTGAGCTGGCAGTCAAATTCCAAGAGATCTGCTCGCTGGGCCATGGAACTATGGGAGCAAAGGTTGGTGGGGGAAGAGGACACAAGAAGGACCAGGGCATGTAGTGGAGGAGAAATATTGGCACAGAATTTATGATGAGACATGTGAACCCACCTACACAGTTCCAGGGGCTTCCAGATACCCAATTTACGAATTGATTAAGTAGTATCCCTGGTTGCCCTGCAGAGTACAACCTATAACCCCACAACCTTACATGGAGCTTGCTGGGGCTCGGACTCACTTTTCTACTGCCTCCATGGTGTTTTCCAGCCGCTCCCCAGACCCTGTGGAAGCAGTTTGTGTGGGTCCCTGGGACCTGGCTTGACCTTCCTGTCTACCTACCTTTCTTCTCGATGGCCTCCCACTTGCTTTAGGTTTCCTCTCTTCCAATCAGTTGAACCAGCCTCTTCTTCCCTGTCACACACCCTCCAGAACCCGTGTGACTCTGCTCACCTCGCTTTTCAACATTCACTAGTGCCCTACGCCTCAACGACGGGCTGCCCACCATGGCACCTGTCTTGTTAGGCTCCTTCCCCCCTAAATGGATTCCATCCCTTCTCACTCCCTGACTCAGCTCACCTCCACGGTGGGCAGCCAGGCAGATAGGGAAGACAGGAGCTCTGGGTGTGTGCAGCAGATGAGGTCGGCGCAGGAAGAAGATGGAGAGCATGATGTAACTGCCCAGGGTGGGCAGAACAAAGTACAGGAGGGGGATCATAGCCCTGGCTCCGCAGCAGGCTTCTGTCAAAAGCACAGCCTTCCCAGTCCCAAAGGGATCTGATGCCCGGGCCGAGCCTGCCTGCTGAGCCAGTGTAGGCTGGCTCCACCACTGGGCAGTGCCACGCCCATGGACCTGCTGAGCCTGCTGGGTGCTGCTGGAACATGGCCAGACTGCAGTATGGCCCAGAGCTGGGGCTACGCACCGGAACTGAGGCAGGCAGCCCTGGGTTTCACATTCAGAGACCTTTCACAGATCTCAACACCCCCTTCTGTTCTCGACCATGTGTGTGTGGGGGGGATTAAGCAGCCCCACCCTCTAGTTTTTAGATTTCTCTGCCTCCCATAGGTGTTTGTGGACAGGATCTGTAACTTACTACCTTTGCCACTTCCCAGGAATCTGGGGTTGTGTAAGGTACCCCTGAGTCACCCCAAATCACTCCAGGCAGCTAAACAGGAAGCTGTTAGGGAAGACAGTGACTAAAGGGAAACTGACCCCTTCCCAGGGAACTGGCACTCCTTAGAACCCAACCTCATGCCTGGCCAGCTGGAGCCAAAGACTACCAGGGTCCTGTAAAGCCACAACTGGAGGGGGGTGGCGGTTGTGAGTGTAGAGTGCTGGGGTCGTGTCGGCACACACAGACAGAGGCAGGGTCATCCGTATACACATCTCTGTATTTATATATTAGATACAGGCACGGGAGGTGGGGAGGGGCACCGGCTCTCCACGGGCCCCACCTCCACATCCAATCACCCACACACAGAAGCAGCAAGGGCGTTACATGTGGCAGCTTGAGAGGGAGAGGGTTAGGCCTGGGCCTGGCTCCTCAGGGAAACTAGCCCTTGAAACTTAGGAATGTTCTGTCAGGGAAAATGGGGTGGGGTTCCAACAAGATAAGTAGGACAGAGCTTAGCCCGAGTCCCTACTCAGTGCCCTCCACCCCTCTGTAGAACAGAGCCTAGGGCGCTCATAGCCCTTCCATTCCAGAACGGTCTACCAGAGCCGGGGCTAGCAAGTGTAGATAAAGACACAGCAGCAGAGATCAGCTCTGGGGCCACCTCATCACTCGGGCCATGGGGAGATGGGACAGGGGATTGGAGTGGGAGAAGCCTGCTTGAAGCAGGAGACCCCAGCAAAGTGAGAGAAGATGGCCAGGCCCACCCGTGGTCCAGCCTGGGCTGCCGGGGTCTGGGTTGAGCAAAGTTCATTTTCTAACAATCTGCAGAGAAGGAGGAAGTAGGAGCAGGACCTGAAAACAGAAGCCGACGGAAAGAACTGTCAGCTGGGTGAGCCTTGACCCCAGTGCCACTGGTCTGTCGAGTTCTGTGGCTCTTGGCTTCTTTATCTGCAGCTAATAAGAGCAGCCACCAAGTGTTACGGTGATTACAGGTTCCCCTCAAAGTCATCATGGTACACTCTGCCCCCAAGGCCGGATGGCTCCTCACAAGGGGCGGGTCCCTCACCCTTGGGTCTCCAGTGATGCTGACAAGAGGGAAACTTATGGGGCTGGAGGATGCTCGGTCACACATGAGTGGCAGGCCCTGGCCCTTTGTTGCTACCACACACGTGCACAGATGATGAAGCACCCAGGCTGGGCAGCCTCTGACTAGGATGTGGCTGTGCAGGGGCATTGGGAGCCACTCACCAGGTCCAAAAGGACAGGGGTTTCTGTTCTTGTTAGGGGCCCTCTGATGCCCCTGGCTGGAAGCGGGCTGTCTCTTGGAAGATCAGCTCCTTCAGCCGCTCCTTGGGGAGATCATCCAGCTCCATGTCAAAGGTGAACGGCTCCTCAGCCACTGGCTAGGGGGCAAGGACAGTAAGGTACAGGCTAGACACTTGAGATACTAACCCCCCTCGCAGCCGCTGGTGGCCAGCCTACCTCATCTGTGGGATCATAGTACTGCTCCAGGTAAGGGTGAGCCAGAGCTTCCTCGACTGTGATGCGCTTGTTCGGGTTAAAGGTCAACATCCGGTCCAGCAGATCAAGAGCTAAGGCGAGGCAGGGGCAGCAGTCAGGGGAAGGCTAAAGGACTTCCATGGACATCCCCTGTCCAGTGCCCAGGGCCTGTCTACTGAGGCAGGAGGTAAGGGCACACACTCTTCTTTGTCGCTGGGCTTTAGCCTACCCCAGGCCTTTTGTCTTTGTCTCACTCACCTTTGGAGTCAGATTTGGGAAAAAGCTTGGCCCAAGCCACCTTGGTTTTCGAGGGCAGAGACTGTAGGTAGTTTCGGGCCTTCATGTTGATGATACAGTTAAGGTCCTCCTGGGATGGAGAACCCAGGATACCTGTGGATAAACCAGTTGTCTTGGTGAGAAGTCAAGTCCTCTTTCTGGGAACAGGTCAGGAAGCAAGCACAGGATCCCAAGCTCAGCCACGTGCCACCATACCTGCCCACCTACCCACTCCAGGAAGTGACGAAGAGCAAAGAGCTGAGAACCAGGGAGCCCTGGACTCAGATTCTCGCTCCAGTCTTCCTCAGGTATAGGGCTTAGCCTTGCTTTTCCCAGCTTTCAAATGGGAAGAAATACCATGAGATGCTGGGGAGGCTCCACATGTGGTACCCAATTCTCACCCTCCAGAAACGTCACCTCTGATAAGCTAACCTCCAACCCTCTCAGACAGACAGGCCCTTTCACCTAGAATGTGGTTGAGCTGGTCCAGGTAGTGCTTGCCAGGGAAGATAGGCCGGTTGGAGAGCATCTCAGCCAGAATGCAGCCCACAGACCAGATGTCAATGGATTTGGTGTAGCCCTGGGGAGGAGAGTGTGCTGAGCTCCCCGGCCAGCCTCATCAGGCTCATTCCTGGTATTTGGGACATGCACTATATCCAACTTAGATCTAACACAGCACAGGGCAGAGGACAGAGGCTAGGAAAACTCTACCTCTACATCTTCCTAGAGCCCAAGGGCTGGAGGTATTGTGCCAAGGCCCAGAGATGGCTCTAGGACTCCCTTGCAGACGTGAGTAACTCTCCTACCTTGGAGTTAAGCATGATCTCTGGGGCTCGGTACCATCGTGTGGCCACGTACTCGGTCAGAAAGCCAGTGTGGTCATGTTCAGGGTCAGCAATCCGGGCCAGGCCAAAATCACAGATCTGGAATCAAACCCAGGCCACTGAAGGGCTCAAGGCCTCCACAGGCTAGGAGGTGGCCCTGCCCTGCCTATTCTGTTCTTGCTTGCTAAGTTCCAAGGTTGCTTTTGCTGGCCACCCACAGGCCCCACAACCAGGGAAGAGGAGAGAGGCTGGCATTTAACCTCTGACCTTAAGGTCGCAGGTGGTGTTGATAAGCAGATTGGAGGGCTTCAGGTCCCGGTGCAGCACATTGGCTGAGTGTATGTACTTGAGGCCCCGGAGGATCTGGTAGAGGAAGTAGCAGATGTGGTCATTGCTCAGCTGCTGGCTCTTAAGCAGCTTGTACAGGTCTGTCTCCATGAGGTCCTGAACGATGTAACTGAGGATGGCTCCAGAGACCCCCGAGTCGGGGGAAGTAGGAGACACTTCGTTAAGGAAAACAGGCTCTGACCAGGAGCTGTGGTACTCCTTCCAGCTAGGGTCCCTTGGCCTCATGCGCTTCACAAGGCTTGGAGCTGACAGTGTGCAAGGCACATCTATTCTGGGCCCTCAGTTTCCCTACTGAGCAAATGAGGGTGCTGTGGAAGGTAGTGGGAGGGTAGTGGGAGAATGTGGGAAGAGCAGGAGCTCCGAGTTAACCCACTCATGCCCGAAGTCCCCATGCTCCCTCCACAGCCCCGTGTCCTTAACCTGTCCAAGCCTCGGTCTCCTGGTCTGACACACAGGGAGAGTAAGTGTTCTTCAGAGGGTGGCTGTGAGCAGAAGATGCTTGCGGAGAGCGCTCGGCAAACAAGAAGCACTGTTGTTACTCCATGCAGAGCCATGCGGCCGTAGAGTGGGTTAAACGAGATAACGCACGAATACCATCTGGCACACAGTAACTGTTTGCTTAAAAATAAATGCCTGCCTTATGGGGATGATTCGTGCCAGGAGAGTGAGGAGACACTCCCCAGCAGTGTGTTCCTACAGAGCACTTGACCATACACCAGAAGGTGGAGAACTGAGAGTCCTTTTATACTTGAAGATAAAACAAAGATTAAACATAAACAAATGTCATCTGGTTTATCTTTAGAAGAGTAGTCAGGAGCTGGGCAGAGGACCTCACTCCTATAATCTCAGCACTTGAGAGGCAGGGGCCAGAGGACTGCCTAGAAGTTTAAAATCAGCCTGGTCTACAAAGATAGCCTGAGGCCAACCAGGAATACACAGTGACACTTTCTCAAAAAACTAAGTCTGAACAGTCTTTTACAGAAGACATGTGAACTGGGGCTGGTGGCACCCCGGAGGCAATGGCAATTGGATCTCTGTAAGTTCAGGGCTAGCCTGGTCTACATAGTGAGGCCCTTTCTCAAAAAGAGAGAACAAGCACATGCAGATATACACACATGGACCAACCCTGCTGTTTTATAAATGGGTAAGTCTAGGACACAGAGACCTGCTGAAGGTCACGCAGCAAGACAGGAGTGTGTCGATTTCCTGTGGTCAGAGTTGCAGAGACTGCAGAACAAATCCTGGGATTGGGAGGGGTGGGTAGGGAAGAGGCCATGGGTGCTACCGTCTGCTAACAATGGAGCCAAGCAGGAAGTAGATGTGGACAATGAACTGGATGTCTGAACTAGGAAAGCAGTGTCAAGCAAGGGCAACAAGGGCTGGACTACCCTCCCTGGTCAAGGTACAAGTCCACAGGTAATAAGGGTGGGGCTCTCAGAAAAGTGGGAAGGCTCCAAGAAAGCCAACTAGGGGAGAAGAGGAAGCAACAAACAGGAACAGCTGAATTTAGGCTTTCTTATATAGGAAGACCCTCAGAGCCCCTCATCTTTGCTTGAGACCCTGGCCTAGCCAGGGGCAGGAGTGCAAAGGCATGGCTCTGCCCTGTGACTCTAGGTCCTCAGGTTCCCCCTCTTAATAATACAAGGTGGTTTGAAAGCCCCCTCCATGTTGGAGAAAGTACTGCCCACCCCCTGAGAAGGCACCACAAAACTTAACAGAAGAGCCTCAGTTTCCTCATCTTTAAAATGGACGTGGTAAAGCTCATCACACAGAGAAGTCAGAAGGTTGAATTAGAATCAAAGCACTAGGCCTGTCCAATACTGGTTTTCCTCTTTGCTTTCCATCCAGTGTGAGGTCTCTAAAGAAAGAATCGTGAGTCTGTTGAGCAAGAACGGGCTGTGGGCAGAGACTGGGTCATGTCACAGAACTGCAGATGTCAGAAGACAAAGCTCCCATAGAGATCATTTAGCCCAGCATTCTCCCTCCCCACACACCATACTGGGGCACAGAGCAGAAAAGGATGTGTTCAAGGCCACTCCACTTGGCTGCAACAGACCAGGATCCAAGGCCTGCCAGTGTGCTCTTATGTTCTGTAGACTCTCTGCTAAATTTATTTTCTGGGGTTTTTTTTTTTTTTTTTTTTTTTTTTTTTGGAGGGTGGTACAAAAGATGACAACAGA